TAGTTCTGACCAGATCTGGGCCTTGAGTGTGGTTTTTAAGGGTATTCTCAGATTTTTTTGCCTTTCACTCACATACCTGATACGATTTATGTCTTTGAAATGAATAATTAATGCAGCAGAATATCTGGAGATATGTGTAATATTGTTAGGTATTGCAATTTCTGTTTACTTCTTTTTTACCTTTAGTCCCTATCTGTTATAAACTTACTACAATGTGAAGATGTGCTACTCATATACAAACATGCAAGCACATGCACACGTGTGTGAACAACCTCACAGGCTCATAAGCTTAATTACGGATGCATGTTGAGGCTTATTAAAAGGATTCAATCTAAGTATCTCTTATTCCAAGAATTACAGCATGTTTCCTTTGTCTGCAGCTGCGCTAATATCATATGGTGTCTTTTCCAGGACCATGGGCCTAATCCAATGGCAAAAGCTCAACTAGATTTACTTTCAAGGCTTATTGGTGGTGGGGAGAAAAAGACAACCAAAAAATCGGAATTCAGATTAAATTTATTCACCACTGATGCAGAGGAGGAGTAAGTATATGGCTACTTCAGGATGAGTCTGGAGATTAATGTAAATAACATGAAATCTTTTCAATTTTTATTATTGAGATAACAAGTGTGTTGTTGTCAAGGTCCTTTGATGTCCAAAATGTGTGGTGTTTTGGTTTGAAATGCGTGCCATTCTTGTGTGATTACATTTTCTTCATTTCTCCAGGGAAGCGGCTGCACTAAGGCCAGCAGAGGAACCAGGGTCACAGGTTATCAATATAGATGCTACTAAGGTAAGAAATTCTGGTAAGACTTAATTAAACACACATTGTTGCCAGTTTTTGTCATGTCATTTTTAAGTGAGAAGTATTGGCTTCATCTTAAGTCACTGTTCTATTTTGAAATGCAAACACACACAGCATGTATATTCCTGTACATGCGTGATATGTGCATGATAAATTATGATATACGTTTACAACTTGTCACAGTGTTCAAACTATATTCATGGCATTGCAGAAGCAACAAAATCAAGAGCTAAATAAGATCATGGGTGAGTTGAATGTTGCCAGCGATGACCAAGACAATGGCGGTGGTGACGACTTACTGGACCTCATGGACAGTGCATGATTTCATAAGACTAAGGAGAAATGATTCTTCAGCATATGACAGTGTCTCTGGATGTGGATGGAAGGTGTAAGATTTGAGGTGTTCAGGGACAGTGGTGGTTTCAAACAGCGTATTCATTCTTGCAATACATTCAATTAAAACCATAAACATCAGAGTCATTCTAGGAACACTGTTCAGCACTTATTATCTATTATTAGTATTTTATTAATACAATTCAAAATGTATGATTTTCCGTATTGTGTAGTTTCATATGGGTATGCAGTTTTACTTCTGGGTAGATTCCACAGGGTTTCAATCTACTTAATACTTGACACCATTAATTTCTGACAATTGTATTGTTGACAGTTGACAAATATTATTAAATGAAAGGGGAGAGTACATTTAACAGTAGCTGTTAATTGACTGTCTTGGGTTCTATTTATATATTGGACCCAGCCACCATTTGCCTGTGTTGCATTTGTAAATTGTGATAATCCTACAGTGCCTACTATGAAGTTAAGGACATATGGACAAGGTATAACTGGTATCAACAGAGGACATCATGTCTTTTCCCTAAAATGATAATAAGAGAATTTTGCTTTAAATCATGTTTTTCAGTCCACTGTTTCTTTCCCCTGGTCAGTTTAGAAATATAGATACCGGTACTTTTTATTCTTGGTAAAGGATAACAAATGATGATTGGAGGTTTTCTTTTCTTGCCAGTTTTCAATTGTACACAAAATTTTGATTTGGTAAAATTTCTAGGGCTATTTGACTTGAGTTGATCTTAAGTGTGAGCCCAGTCCAACAATTAGTTTGATAATGTGAAGAGAGAGAGGTAGGTGTCTTTGTACCTAAATGTTGAGTTTTTTCCCTTCTCTCTTTACATTTGGCAGAACAAAATAACAGTATTAGATATTCTTATTTATCAAAAGTATTAGGTTCTTTCATAGATTAAAGCAGCTGTTTTAAGTATATGAGATCTGTTTTACATTTAGGCACTAATCAAGTGTCAGTTGACTTTTGTCCGTCCAATAATTTCAGAGGGTGTAAATTTTTGACCAGTTATAGGGCATTTAAATATTAGAGCTTTTAGTTACTGTGTTTTGATTGAACTTTTTTTATTGCCACAATTTGTAGAGTTTTATTTATTTCTTTATTTTTATTTTAATAGCGTGTGTTTATTTATGTGCTGAAAACTCCCACAAACTGGCTCATCAAATACTTCATCACATTCTTAAAATTGGCATACTAATTATTGTAATCAATTAGTGAGAAAGGTGTATAAGCCCAATATTGTATCATGAGGATTCATGTAAATGTATTAAGAGTGAAAACACATAATCACTGTGACATATCGTTGTGGTTATACATAACCTTGTTATGCTGGAGACTGCCTGTTACGTGTACATTTGTCTGTGATAGATTATATCGTACAAGTATATGTGAATGCATCGTCACTGAGTGTAGCTTATGGGCTTATATTGATGAAATGACGATGGCTGTTTCTCATGTACAGAAATATGAAGACATTATTAGATTTATCACCAAAAGATTATGAAAAGATGCATGAAACAGTGTGAAGTTCCATATATTGATTATCATGTCTGCATGCAATTGTTACTCTGAAATATATTATTTTATATGAAGTAATGCTGGCATACTGTGTAGAGTAATAATATTAAATTATATAAGTGTCGTTTTTCAATGTGAAATCCAGTTGATGACAAAGGAAGGTTGTTTATAGTTAAAGCATTATTGGATTCTTTTCAAGTTTGGAGTTGAAATGATGTATAGTGATGGGAGAAGTCTGTTTGCTGGTACTTATTCATTCAAAATATTTCTGTATATCTGTCGGCTTATACATAAATATATATATATTAAGAAAAGGAAACTGAAGTCTTAACACTTGGCAGTTAAATCAAACTCTAAATGGTTTATATATTTTTTTGGATATGCTTTACTTCAGCAAACATTAAGAGCAGAGGTCTGGAAGAATAAAATATATTTGGACATGGTTCAGAGTTTGATTTTTCTCCTCATTTATCCGGAGAGATGCACTTCACTTGGAATCTCTCCCCCCTTCCCCCCTCCAAAAAAAGTGTTTTTTTTTCTCTGGAAGTACTTGTTTTTGTTGTCAAATTTGATTATTATATGGTTTCTGGGGAAGCCAGAAGCCTCAAATTGGACAGATCTCTTAGTATTTTGGCCTGGACCCAGACAAAACATTGTTTTCTGGTTGCACTTTAAACAAATTTAAAAGAAATATTCAACATTGGTTTTCAAGATGAATTTTTATTTCATTTTTTTTATTTATTTATTATTATTATTATTATTTATTTATTTTTTTTATTTTATTTTATTTTATTTTTTTTTTTTGCATTCACTTGGAAGAGCATATTTTCACAAGTGCTATTTTTTAAGCTTATAAGTCCGAACATTAATGTACAAGCGCCCAAAAACTGCAGTTTAAATTTTTTTACGGGTTTTGACTTTTGGTTTTAAGGTCCTTTTGACTCGATTTGTATGCAACCCTATCTTTTATCCAAAAGAAAATGCAATTGCCACCCTTATAGAACTTGATAACTGGTTTTCCTTTTCTATCAGACTCGAGAGGCAGGGAAGTTTTGGGCACACGAATTGCGACAGAGAAGTTTATTATTATTATTATTAATATTATTATTATTATTGCCTAACGTAAAATTAGTAAACGATTATCCCTATCGCAATGGGTACCCCTGAGATCAGAAGGGAAGTTTTGCACATATTGATCGAATGCGTTAAAAAGCCGGTTACTTCTTGTTTCCTCCCTAAGCTCTGCTGGGAAACTGTCTCCTGGAACTGTATATTTCTTTATTTTACGAATAGAAAAGAGATTATAGTTTATAAATATTTCATACATCAAAAAAATTAACGTTTCTGTTATTTTTCAAGATGATATGATTACACGGTAACCTGATGGTAAAATTGCATCTCGTTTTTGGAACCGTTCATTCATTTTAATATGATTTCAGCAAACGCGAATCGCTTTCCCGGGATTGCTATTCTTTACACTTTATAATATTAAAGACTAAATTTTACATCGAGACTTCGGTACGGAAAGTGAGTGAACTGTATATGATTATGTAAATCAGGTGAGCATTTTAGGTGAGAGGTGTTCAGATATGACCAAGGTCAGAAGAAGATGGAAGGAAGCCACATGCCACGTTGCTTCAATATTTCTACATGTTAGCCGAAAATTTGCCAGTAAAAACGACAGCAGTACGTATAAATGTTGTAAGATAACATTGCTTTTCTTTGCGTTAATGATATTTATCCAAAATGATACCTTTTGCACTCTGAGTATGACGAGCATGGTGACAGTTTATTGACGTGAACGATGCTTTCCCATAAAAGTCCAAAATCAGCTTGAAGTTTAAATAATTTATCATCTGATATTTTTCCAGAGGGAACTCGTTTCCCAATAAAGATGTTAGAGGCTAATTCCCGCTGTTAAAAATACCCAACGCTGCTTCCGACTTAAATGATTTTAGGAGGTAACTATATTTTCAAATTGTTAGGCTCTAGGGCACTCTTTTATATCACAACCACAGCTATTTGTTTTCTAAAACAAAAATACCACTTTTATTAAAGAAACTGATAACATATAAATGTTTCTCTTTCGAACTAACCTTTTTTTGAGCATGCAGGTAAGAACAAATAAGAACAAACAAGAAAAACTCAGTTTCAGTGCTCAAGATATTTTTTATTCGCTTCTAAATATAACAATTAAAACGTCTGGTATAAGGTCATTAAAATTTAAAAGGTTTGTCCTGAACTTGAAAACATTCCATTTTGGTTCCTTGGAATAAAATTTAGGTTATTGGTATCATATAAATTCACTGTAAATAGTAGCAAGGACGTTCTTGATAGAAGCTTCCCAGCGGGCAAATTATGTTGTTTTAACGTTGAAACAACGTTGAACCATAACGTTGAGTAGACATTGAATAAACGTTGGATTTGAAAGTTGTGTCAACCTCAGATAACAACGTTGTATCAACGTCAGAAAACAAGGTTATATCAACCCCACCCAGCGGGAAATTAGCCTGGACGTGTTTAGCAGTAGGACATGTTTGATGGCTAAATATATGTAGGGTATAAATGTATGGCCTTTAAGTTAGAATTTCCAAGATTTAGATTAATATGTATAGTCTTTTTCTTATATATATTACAGAAGATAACTACAACTATATATATATATATTTATATATAACAAAGTCACAGTCACCGCAACCTGTCTATCTATAACAGGTTACCAAGACTGTTAACTCCATCACATTTACAGCAAC